AAGATTAAAAAAAAAAAAATGAGGTTAACTGAATAATATGGATGTCTTAAAGAGACTAGTCATTTTAATGCAGGCATTTTCTATGAGTTCTCAACTGTTAACTGATTACTCTTGGAGGCCAAGAGCTTATGGTAGCTATTGCAATTGGATATGACATTGAATAAAATGAGGTTAATTTGGTCATTTCTGATATTATCACACATGATGAACTATTTGATATTGTTATCATTTGGTATTTATTTATGTGATGATGAATGTAACCAGCATCATTATTACAAGAGGACTTCCACTGTGAAAAAAAAAAAAAAAAAANAAAAAATCAGCGAGCAAGGTATCTGTGTGGAAGTTAGTGATACGAAAATAATTGTCAATCAAAATGTCTGGAGATGTTGAAAAAAGAAAAGTTGATTGGGTAATATCTTCAAGAACCCATGTGAAATAGTTATATACTCTTCTGAAAAAGATTTTGTCATCCATTACCCATATTACTGCTGAAGCTTCACTGGATTTTGATTTGATTGTAAGGATGCTTGCGATGATTGTATCATAGCAATTACAAAGCAGCAATTGATAATCACTTCCATTTTTTAAATGGTGGAGCTTCACTGGATTCAGTACCTTTTTTCCTTTCGTTTCTTATTCAAATGGTGGAACTTAAAGAATTTAGTTTTAAATGTCTGAATATTTTGTTATGTACAGGGTGATGCTGATATATTTTTCCCGACGGAGTTTTGGCTTTTGGAACGTATGGATCATTACTGCTCTGAACGGTTAAGGCCAAAACAAGATACTTATTCAAAGAAAGGAAAGAAGAGAAGAACACTTACAGTAAGTTACTAATTCTTGATGCTCCTGTTAGCTGCCTATATTCTCAGACATTGTGCATAGTTGAATTGTGTATTGGTCTTGGGGATAAATTGCACAAAATTTCTTGCCTTATTGCCTATTGCACATGAAAAAGAAAAGAGATAAAAAAAAAAAAAAAAAATATGTTGCCTGTCTTTAATGCTATAGATATACCCTTCACACATTGAGATGCCCCTTCAAGGTACATATTACATTCATAAATTTCATCATTCGGCAATGACATTTATTTATTTTTTTTACTTTGTTTACTTATTTGGTAATTTGATTCTTACTTCAAGGTACGTATTACTTTCATAAATTTAATCATTCGACGATGACATTTATTTTTCTTCTTATTATGTTTACTTATTTGGTAATTTGATTCTTACTTCAAGGTACATATTACTTTCATAAATTTAACCATTCGACGATGACATTTATTTTTCTCGTTATTATGTCTACTTGTTTGGTAATTTGATTCTTATATATGCTTGGTACAATCCGGGTTTAGCTCGATACATCGTCTTTTATGGAAGAATTCGGTCTTCCCACCAAGACGAGAACCAAAGATGGGTACAATCCAATGCTCGATGATTTCAAGAACACCAAGTTCTATCTAAGTGTACCCACACATAACATCAAATAGATAAAACTCAAAACCTGCATTCGTTTATGTTCACGGGAACTAAAGATGGGCACAATCTGATGTTCATGTCTTGCTTTGGGCCGGAAAGAAACTAAACCTCAGCCAACACTTGGGCGAATTTTGCTTTACACATGTCATTGTGTTGAGTTCAGTGTTCTCCAGGTTCTGCTCTAATTAATGTCAGATAGATTGACATCTCAAGGCAAATTCTAATTACTGAACGCAGAACTATGATGTTGAAGAGTAATAGGCAGTTAGTGTGATAAACCTATGATGAGTCTTTTGGTTTTTGTGGAGTAGTATTGTCCTAAAAATTTCGAGGTGTTGTATTTGGCATATATATATGTATATATATGCGGATATATGTGTGGTGAAGCAGTGCATTGGTATCACAAACTAGAATCGCAAATAAGCCTCCACTATTGGATGTTAATAAAATTTAATGGTTGAAAAAACAATTACTTTATTTTAGTACTGTTATGAGTCATTATTAATAATCTAAGATCTCATTTTCAAATCTATTTTTTGAAAACATAAATAAATTAATATACTCTTCATATAACAAAATTTGGTAATCAACATGTCAAATATTTTACTAAGAAAGTCATTAATTAGAACTTAATCAAATTCAAATATCGAAGGTTTAAAACAAGCAAATCTTTTACAAAATTTGGAGAGATTATTTATTTAAAGGTGACATTCTCAAATAAAAATAAATTAGATAGATATTTTTACCATAATATTAACGTATATACTGGTTACTTCATTAATGAACTATAACTTAATGAGATTAAATATCCTCACTTTTCGGAAACAGGTTTTATATGCACTATATGAGTATCTTATAATATCGAAAAAAATAATTTATTTAAAAATATTATATTTTTCAAATATTCTTTTAATTAATAAAAAACTATACTCAAATAGATTATTGTTCATGGGTACGTCTTCTCACTTGCAGATTTTTGAGCATATAAACGATTCGGATATAAATCTTTCATATTAAATTATATTTTGAATAATGGTAGTTTGCAATTAAGAAATGTTTATCAGTCTTTTTATGAATTAAAAAGTATTTTAACCATCTATAAATTATTAATTGACGAAATATCATTTGAAATTAAGAGAGGTCTGTAATTTGGAGATTTAAAAAAATATATAGAAAAAATTGAAAATCTCCACTACATACCAAACCGACGCATTAGACCCGAATCTCCGAATCGAACCTATATTTAGGTTCGATTCGGAACAGAGATTTCTTGAAAATGATCGATTTTAAAGATTCAATCTTTTTGATCTCTGAAATTTAGTTCAATTCTGGAGATTTCTGGATATCCGAACCAACCAACCCGTGCTCAACCATAATTGGCACAAGGAAAAAAAAACAATAATTAAAAAAGGTGGAATTATAAATTTTATTATCATACAAATATTTGCATTAGTATATAATTAATAAATTAAGCCATAAAAATGTGGAAAGGTAGTTTTCTCATCCAGCCTTGCTTATCATCAATGAAGGAAAAGGACGTTAGGTGGTTCAAATATTGTGGGCTGAGCTTCTTTATCCACTTCACCCTCCTCGCCGTGTTTGATCCCAAACCCTTACAGCTATGCTCGGCGAAGGTCAACTGGTACTCTCTCCCAACGTTGTACCAACAATCCCATCCTTTAGGAACTATTATTTCTGACATCGAACTGTTGTAAAACAATACTCGAGCATAATCCCTCCACGCCCTTCCAAGATAAGTATTCCCATTTCCCACTATTTTACACTCTTTGAACACAAAACCATTCGTTTCTTCATTACTTGATCTTCCCTGAGCGGTTATGTATCCCGGGACGCCATTTGGTAGAGACCACGTGTGGCCGGCGGTGACCAAAAATGGCAAAGTGTACAAAAAAATTAAAATTAGGTAGACAAAGTGTAAAAAAGAAAAATAGTTTTGTGGGCAAAATGTAAATTTGCGAATAGTTAAGTAGACAGAGTGTGATTTTTCCTTTGTTTTATTACCTCATAGAGGGATTGGCCTGCGCCGAATATGAAATCGACGGCCCCTTGAATTGTGCATAGTTTGAAATAATGTCTGCCAGAAACGTCCCACAATGTGTCTTGAAACCCGAAAAAGCCACATCGGTAGAACAAAGATTTGTCGCCTTGTATCATGGCTGCAACAGCTGTCTTCATCGGCTTTTTGTTTGGAGGAGAATTGTAAGAGTTCTGGTCCATCAAACACAGAGTATATGTATATGCTCATGATAATGATGATGACAATAATGTAACAGTCCTTGAAATTTGCTTAAAAACTTTTTTTTTTTTCTTACTACAAATGTTATGCACTTTGCAATGGTGTTGTCGGCCTCGGACGTGAATGTGGCGCTTGTTGCTATAGAATCATGTGCATCCCAAACAACGTAAGTGTTCCTTTTCCCTTCACCTTTGAGGTAGATGAACGGCTTGTCCATCGGAATTCTAACTTGTTCTCTACAAAAATAAAAAAAAAAAAAAATGTAGAATTTTACGAATGATCATAACAAATTAATGATTGAACAAAAAATAAAAAGGCTATGTAGGTTGGTTTTTGTTTGACCTATAGAGGCCTTTCTTGACGTGCACGCAAGTCCACTTTGTGTTGTGGGAAGGTATGGAATTAATGGCGGCTTGGATTGTTTTGAAATGGCCTCGACCGGAAGGATCAACCAATATGCACTTCAATCCATCATCATTGTTCTTCCATTCTTCTTTTGACCAATAGTAATTGGCCGACGATGAAAACGATAGCAACAAAGCAACAAATATTAATAATAATAGTATATGATTATGATGATGAGGAGAAAACATGTTTTCGATTCTTGTGAACGCAACTATGAAATCAACAACAAAAATATGTAAATATAAATAGAAGACAAGACTCGAAAAGTTTTAATTCTTCGATTTGCTAAGGACATTAATTCTGGTCCCTTGAGGCATTAAATGAATTTGAAAAGGAACTAAGAAATGCTTAGGGATTAGTAGTAGTAAAGTCTCTGGGAATCCTTGAATCAATGAATATATTATGTCCTTATAATTCTCAATGGTATATAGAGTAAGTGATCACATAATAATCTGATTATTTTAATTAACATATGGGTTTATGTAGAGATATTATGATAAATCTTTGGATCGACTTAATCTCACAAAAACTTTGTCAAACATCGGGAAAATGGAATGCGGAGTAGAAAAGTAGGATTGAAAATCTTATCCCAATAATGTGAATTAATTGGTACAAGTAATAAGAGGAGGGAACTTGGAAAGTCGAATAATAATTGGTGGAAATCTCATAGTGCATGATTTTATGAATCTTCGTTCATTATTAAATTAAAAATGGTTAACATTTACTCACTTTTTTTTTTTTTCTATTATTTTATTTATTTTTCTTTTTTCTTTTTCTTTAAGTTGGGGGAGAGGAAGAGGGACTTCTACATTCCAACCAGAATAATTTTTTTTTTATAGATTTTAAATTCGTTGACTTTTATTGTCATTTATTTGATTATTTTTATGCTTTCGCTGATTTTATATTGTAAGGTAAATTATATGCAGTATTAATTTACACAGCTAGCCTCTTTACCTGCAACATTTAAATGATGTTCACAAGCATTTATATTTTTGTTGGCGCAATTTTCTGGCTTTATCTAATTAGGAAATGCATCAGCAAGTTGTAACGTAGAAAAATAAAAGGTAGTATATGGAATTAAAAATATTTAGTTTGCATATTTCGAAATGACGATGATGTGTAATTATAGAAATGATCGATTCTAAAGATCGTGCGATATGATCCCTGCATTTTATGTTAAATCATTTGTAATTTTAAATTGTTATTATTCATTCACATAATACTTGAAATTTAAAATAAAGTGAATACTTTAAACTATAAGAGCATCTCCAATGTGACTTTTGACATTGCACAAAATTATCCATATCATCAACTTTTGAAAGTTTATCACTAATTTATTCTCCAATGCATCTTGTCATTAGCTCTTTCATCATGATGTGGATGGCATTTAATGTTAACAATGTTGAACTCACTTTCTAATATCTAACACCATGTTAAACATGATGACTCATTAATTCACTTTATATTTTGGTTTAATTTTTTATTATTCTTGTATTAATGAATTATTATAATTGGTCCACCTATACAAATAAATTCTTATCAAATTGGTGCATTGGAGATACTAGTTTGATTCAAATTTTTAGTCTTTTAACATTATTCTTATGTGGATTAACATTACAATCATCAATTGACATGTGTTAAAAATTATTGCCTTTCAACACCATAGCATTGGAGATGCTCTAAGACATGTATGAAATAATCAGAATATAGAATGAAAGAGATTAATTCTTTAAAAAATTAAAATATATATATAAATTTAGAAGGTAACATTAAGCAAAATACGAATTGTTAATTTTCTTAAAGGATGTACAAAACAACATGACTTCATTCTCTTATCTCATCCATTATGTTTTTGTAGAATGGAATAAATGAGAGCGTTAGGCTAAAAGTATATTTAGCAATAAAGAAACTTTTAATAAAAACCAAAGTAGAAAGAAAAAGATATAAGCAAAGGACAATAAATTCAGCAGCAAGATCTCTCGGCACATGAATAATTCACGAATTTGGAAGGCGGTATGTACGCAACGGTAATAACAAAAAGAGGAAAAAGATATGGGCAAAAGCCCCAATTTCTTAATTTCGGGTACTGTCATTTTAGAGCATATTGTGGAAATTAATGGGGTGTTTGCCATGATCAGTTTTAGCTTTTCTTACATTCTCTCAAAGAAAAAAGGGTTTTCTTTTTCCATTCATGCCCAACACATGGTTAGTGCCTCTAGCATTCACTCGTTCATGATTGATATAAACTTTGCTATAATAGATAAGTTGGCACGATCTTGTAATTTTATTATGACATCACATTTAAAATCAACAATTCCAAATACATATATATCATTATATCAAAATCAATTTGTCAACGTACAATTATTCCCATCATCGATCAATGTTGTTTTTCTTCCTAAACAACAATTCTACGTGTTAATGAATAATTATGGGAATGAGTGAATCGTTTCTAGTTGTTGCACTTATCACCCGTCTAAAAATTAGTGTTCTAGAAGTCGCTAGGCGCTCAATCAGCGTCTAGAGCACCTAGGCGGAACCTAGAAATCATAATTAAATAATTTATTTTTCATTTATTTCACTACCTACAAAATAAAATTATCTCAACTTAAATAAATCAAGACACCTAAGTTGTTGTCATTTATTTTTCATTTATTTCACACCTAAGTTCAAATAATAATATTAATATATTATAAAGAAAACATGATAACAAAATAATGCAATTTGTATTTTAAAAAAATAAAAAAATTGAGAATTTGTTGTCAAGCCCGCCTAGGTCCGCCTAGGCGCCGCTGTTTGGCAATTTTTTCAGTTGATTTATGCAAATCGGAGACAGTCGGATAGTGCCTAGGCGGCCGCCTAGACCTATTTTTTGTATAGTGCTCAATATACTTAGAAAATAAAACAATTTTATTTATGTCCCATTTGACTATTAACTGATAGTGGATAGTCGATTGTGTTAGCTAATTTAATTAGCTGTTTGTAAAATGAGTCTTTAATAAATAGAATGTTTGTATAATTATTTTAAAAATGTTATGTTGTCCAAATATTTTATGAATCATTTTTACCCAAAATGTTCATACGTTGAGCTTTGGGGCAAAACAAACTAAACAAAGAAGTTTTTTACTAAATAAATTAATTAGAAAATTTGACGGTCAAACCATTCAATCCGCTCATTTTACATCATTCTCCTAAATTTGCTAATTTTTCACTCAATCTATTTGCCTATGATTGTAAATTTAGGATGTGTTTTTATATGAATAAACTCACTTCATACTCAAAATTTAACTTAACTTTAACTTAACTCCACTATCTTCAATATTATCAATATAAGTAAATAATAGTAACCAATCATTCTTATACATTACATCAACTTTAATTTACTATTCATCCACTCATATTATTTTAACTAATTATCACTCCACATCATCACTCTCTTACTTTTACAACAAATCAACTTTAATTATTTTATTTTAAATATTATTTTAATATAAAATCAATATCTCAATAACAACTAACCATAACACTTTTTTC